GGGATCATGACCCGAGCTGAAGGCAGATGCTTAACGACTGAGCCACCCAGGCGCCCTAGATTCGTTTTCTATTGCTCTGTAGTAAACGACCACCAACATAGCAGCCTACAACCACCCAAATTTATTAAATCACAACTCTGTGGGCCAGAAGTCTGGGTGGGCTCCACCGGGCTCAAGGGCTTGGCCTGTGGGGCGGCCTGGTGGGGCTCTCATCTGGAGGCCAGGGGGAGCTGGGTCCCAGGCTCATTCAGCTCCTTGCTGTTGTAGCAGTGAGGGGCTTCCCTGCTGGCTGTCAGCTGGGGGCTGCCCTCAGCTCCTGGAGGCCGCTCCATCTTCAAAGCCAGCAATGGAGAAGCATCTCCCTGGGGCTGAATCCCTCTCACACTTGGAAGCTCCCTGACTTCCTCCTGAGAAAGGGGGCCCAGAGGCCAGACCGGGCACCAGCTGGCTTGCCTGTCTCTGGGGACCCAGGCCCAGCCCCCCCGCTGAAGCTGAGAAGGGTAAATATGAGAAGGAGGGGAGGGGGGCGGGAGGGATTGTGAGACAGCTCCCCCCTCCCCGCTCCCCCAAATGGGAGACTCCTGGAGGAGGGTTGGCGGCTAGGGCTTGGTGAGCCCTATGGAGGAGGCACGGATGGACAGATGGATGACACCTTAGCTTTATAAGTCCTGTGAGCCTCAAGTTGGAAGGGGCAAGGTGTGGGGAATGGGCAGGTCCTCAGAGGGACCCCAGCCTCTGGCTCCAGGTCAGTGTTCCTGCATTAGAGGCTAAGGCGAGCCTGAATCCAGGGGCTGTAAGCGGCCACATTGGTGTAGACCCCTGGACGGTTGGGCAGGGCACAGCCCTTGCCCCAGCTCACCACGCCCACCAGGACCCAGCGCCCGGATCTCACGCAGGTCAGGGGTCCCCCAGAGTCACCCTGCAGGAGAAAGGCAAGCTTAGGTCTCAACCCTTTGAAGATTTGGGATGGCAGTGCCAGGACCCCAGTCCCTAAGGCGGTGCCTCTGGGTTAGGGGACAGGATGTACGGCCCCTGGGTTCCAAGGAGGGAGGGCGGGTGCTGGACACAGGACCTAGACTCTAGGGGTCCAGGCAGCTTCCCGCACCTGACAGGCGTCTTTGCGGCCCTGGACGTAGCCGGCACACAGGTTTCCGGGCAGCACTATATGCTCCGCGCCGGGCACGTCGGTGCCCACGTGGTAGAGATGGTCACAGGTGCGCGCATCCAGCAGCGGCACCCTTACTCCCTGCAGAGGTCGCCAGTCTGGAAGTGGCACTGGCGGGGGCGGGGGGGGGAGGAAGGGGGGCTTCTGAGAGCTGGGAGAGGCAGGGGCTGAGAAGCCTGCCCCGCCGGGCCAGGCAGGACTCGCTGGTCTGACTGGGAGGAAGAGGATTGGGTCCCCGGAGGTCGCGCTGAGCCCCGGACTGCGACAGCGCGGCGCTAGCCTTCCCGGTCAGAGGGAGGTGGAGAGGGATCCCGCGTCCCTCCCGGCCGGACCCCCGGGCCCCGCCCCCCCGCCTCACC